AGAGCGAGACTCTGTCTCAAAAAAAAAAAAAAAAGAAAGAAAAAGAGAGCTAAAAAATGGGACCCAGATAGGTCAGTAAAATAGAAGCATATTTTCCTAACTATACATTTTCTAAATTCACAGAAATTTTGAAATTCTGATTAAACAAGTTTGTGGTACTAAACTCTAAATATGAAAGATGCCGTTTATCCATTTAAGGTGTACCTGATATAAGTATAATAAAATCCAAAAATATACTGAACTTATATTAATATTACAATAAACAACCACGGTTTTATTTTATTTTTACAGAATACCACTTTTTAACCTTACTATGATAAATGGTAATGATACTAACAGGCAAAATTAGAAAATAGAGAAGAAAAAAAATTACTCATAATGTTACCATACTACTACAATCATTATTAATATTCTCATATACTTATTTCCAGTCATTTTTCCTGGACATACTTGACATAATTATAATTTTAATGTCCATAACTTTTGTATCCAGATTTTTTCATATCATTTCTTATCAGTTGCAGTCATAGATTTTTTTCATTAATAGTACATACAAAATTATTTAATAAAGATAGTAAGAAAACAAAGAACATAAGAACAAAGAATTGTTTAATATGTTTACCTCATAAATAGGAAGTGTAGGTGAATTCCATGCATTGATTCTTGACTCATTGACATCGACAACTGTTACCCTAATTTCAGGGCACATATGAGCAATGACACTACATGTGGGTCCTCCAACATAGCCTGCACCGATGCAACAGATCTTCTTAATTTCAAACATGATTGTACTAGAAGGGAAACAGTAAGACTTTTAGTATTGAAAACAGAAAATCTGAAGAAATCCCATTGTACATTCATCACACTTTATAAATGCTGTCAAGGTAACAGATATCTGGAAAAATTTCCTACATTCACTCATAGGAATTATAAAAATAGTGATAAAAAATAACATTCTAATTGAATGACCTAGCCTGTTCTCAGACTAGCAAGAAACATATGGAAAAAATTATAGTAACTGATATTGCTGGAGAGGAGACAAAAAGATTATAATGACCTAATATTTAGAAAGTCAAGAGGCAAAATAAATCCTCACTTTGGCCTCTAATACACTAGGACAACTTTGTTTGCTGAGGGAAACATACCCGTGGGGTGAACATACCCGTGCAATTCTTGCTCAAATGAATGTTTTTTTTTTTTTTTGAGACAGAGTCTCACTGTGTTGCCCGGGCTAAAGTGCCATGGGGTCATCCTAGCTCACAGCAACCTCAAACTCCTGGGCTCAAGCGATCCTCCTGCCTCAGCCTCCCGAGTAGCTGGGACTACAGGCATGCG